ATCCCTTTTACCGGCCTCATGATGAAATCGTTTCTAGTAATCTGTGATTTTCTTTTTATTTCCCAAGACAATTTTAATCCCAAATAGTGATATATATATATATATATATATATATATATTGCGATTCTTTTCCTTTGCTGCCTTCCCATAAGACCCATCTTCTGTCTATTATATACAGTATCACTCAATTGTTTGTTCACTGTGAGCTCGACAGCGATCAGCGAAGTTCTCTTCACTGTTTTTCTTTGTAGGATGATGATAATGGTGACGAATGTCCACCCCAACTCTCAAAGGATTTCTTTCTTCGAGAAAAAATGGATGCCGATGCTGATATTAAACTCACCTCTGGATGGTTGTCGAGTTTATCATTATTGAATAAGTTCCTCGTTGCATCCGATTTAATTCGGGAAACTTTTGAACGACTTGTTATCTGAACAACCAGTACCCTAACGGTAGTACTCGCCATACTGCTCTACTCTAGCACTATCATGGTATGTATGCCGGAAATAAACACATTCTCCGTTGATACTTTATCTTGATCAGATGATTTTAAAATCACTTAGAGTGAGTAATTACCAGTACTTTCACGACCTGCTGAAGACCAAATTATTCAAGTTGTAAGTGTGTTCAATTTATTTCCACTCAAGTCCGTATCTGTAAAGATTGGTGTAGATAATAATAATAATACTCAAGTCCGGGTTCGAACCCCCGATATATATGTACCTCTACATCTTGCGAATGAATGACTATTTTCTGCAAAATCCAGTCAGTGGCTACTCAGTATCCTCATCAGTGCTTCCTCCCTCCCTCCAGTCCAGTTATTTGTGTTAATCCAAATCTTTCCATTCCTCTCTTCCCGCTTACTGTTTCACAGCCCGTTTGAACAACGCAGTTCCAGTCCAGAACTATACCTGTGTACACTGAGTACTTATGATCCGGTCACTGGTTCTCGTACCGTCCGGTCCAAACAAAAGCTCACATTAGATGAGATCGGCAGATCCGCTCAACGTTTGTCCCTTGTTCCGGGCACTCAACTGAAGGATTTGCAAATAAGTCGTATTGTGGGACAAATCATATTGCTCCAGTCGGCGTCGTTGTCTAATCAGCTTGTGTTCTGCCGAGCAATCAATTGGGACCAGACTGCTAAAGCGGTTCGCGCGTTCCTCAGTCATCCACCTTCACTGGGAACCCAAGTCGAACGCACAGCTACTGTGCTGTTTTCAGCTTCGGAGGACACCGGAGGTCGAGGATCTTTGCATTCACGCTTAGCTGAAGTTACTTTCTTGGGTAGGTCTATTTGCAACTTCTCTAAAAAAAAGTGAATCAGGTTGATCTGCGTTAATGTTTTTATTAATGCACTTAGCAAGCAGCCCTGGGTTGTTCACGAAAGAGAGTCACCTTTTATCACGTGAAAATAAGTTTCCACCATCAGAATCGTGGTAATAGTTAATTATTTTCTCTAATAAGAAACTAATCATGTCGATTAGTCTATTTATTTTCACGTGCGTTTGGGTCCAAACTGTGCCGAATAAATCATAGTACATTGATCTTTATAAAAAACGTTCCATGATTTGCTTGGGGGCGCGATACTGCCAGGTCACTCAAACCAAGGCAGGTGAATCTTCTTGGGGAATTCACAACTGGAGCCTTCGGTTAGACAAACCCTGATGCGTAAGGCAGCCGGACGGTGTATGAAAACCGCTAGCTCGGTATGCAGTCCATCGAGCCATTCACCCCTCGAACGCGTTCCAACGTCCAAGGTGCCGAATGTACCTTCATGCCCAATCGAGCCGGTAACCATTGCCAAAACCAGGAAGGTGTGTGGTTCGTACACCGCTTCTTGGTTGGTTTGGAATCGGGGTTTACATCCAACTCCTCTAGGTGAACTGCCGAAAGTCTGCATGCAACATTTCCAGGTAGGAGAATTCCCCCTCCCCACCAAAAAAAACATTGTATACTGTGCCACGCCATGCTATTTGGTCAAGCAGCGCCAGCTTACCCGTTGAACTAGAGCGTCACGTTACCGTCCGACGAGATCTGTGTTGGTTGTCGGTACTGTACAAAAAAAAACAGACAGTGATCTGCCCAGAACCGAAGAAGTCGATCTGTTCCNCCACCAGCATAAGAATATAGGAGCTTCGACTGAACCGAACGAATTCTATAATTAGTTGTTTATGTGTGGTTTACAAATAAAAATGGAGTGGTGGGTGGATGGGAAAGGGACGTGTCGCAAGAGGGATTAGGACCGAGTCAAGGTTAACCATCACCGGTTTCGGGTACGGGGTCAATCGCAAGGGTCAACGGGTCATGGAAAGAGTCAGCTCCAGTCATGCAACTGAATTCACTCCGTGGCCACGGCAGTTGAAGTGCTTTTACGAATCGTTTTTGAGAACAAGGCGATGGGTTAAACAGACGGATGGCTACTGCCTCAGCTGTTGCTAGATGTTGTTGGCGAACAGCCCTAGATGGATAAGGAGGAACCCGATAGATCACCTTGAAAGCGTCATCATTCACAGTATGTCCCTTATTGGTGAGGTGTTCGACAATGGCACTAGTCATGGTTTTTCTATCTCCAGTAGACAATCATTCTATAATGTTTTTGTGGTATTCATATTTTTATGCATCATGCCTGTGCATGTGCTGATGATGAAGAAATACTCTTCGGTGTTCCTTTCCGAACAGTGATTCACATCGAGAGCTGTATCGCACATAAATTATTCTTGACGAGGATCTAGCCGACAAATGAGGCTTTGGATCTGATTTTCAGTTCAATACCTACTCTTCACTGACCTACCGGACTACCTCTGTCATCACCTGATGGTCGGAGGAGATGCTTCGAAAAAATCCAGTGCACTTAAGTGGCTTACACTACTGGGATCCTGTCTCCCACACGCAGCCAACATCAGTTCCAAAAACGTCTATTTGACGCACCAGATGCGCTTGTTGGCACACTTTCATCAAAGTTCTCAGATTGACGAGGTTTCAAAATATATACTTGATTTTTTGTACAGTGCTGTTTGGCAACGAGCTTCGGCGAGTGACATCCAAGTTGTCTGATGGATTGTTACAGGTCGGAGGAAGAGGTAAAGGAGAGGGTTTGGGTGCAGAAGACAAAGAATTAAGCAAAGATTAGGATTTCTGGACAGTAGCTCACTTATCACTACCCACTTTGATACAACTGGCAGCGTGGTCATGATTATCCTCCACGACGACATGCATAATGTGGGTTTCTCCATAGTTTGTGTATGCATTGGAGTTTGACGGAAGAGTAATACTTCAACCACTAAACAGGAGACAGATTAGGGTTTTCAACCAAAGCCTTTATTTCTGATATGAATCTAACAAAAGCCATCCTGTGTTACTCGTTGGGTCATAGGGGTGCACAAGCTGTCAGACCACGTCATTACGCAATCTCTTCGTGATCATCATCGCACAGCAAAATACAGTGAAGCGAACTTCACGGATCTCTTCATGATGATACGCACATATAAGCTGTTTGCTATTACTGTGTGTGACAATTTTTTTCCCAGCGACCTATTCACAATATTGAAGACCGAAGTTATAAATGCTATAGCATTTTGATTGTATGTTAGGACGTTTATTAGGGAATTCTGTTCATCTTTCGAACTTGGTGCTCCACGTCTATTCTGTGAGAAATGTTCGCACGTTTTGTCCGTAGGATACCTTATTTGCCAAATTCAATGAGTTCTGTTGTTCTTGACCCGGTCTACTTGAGCTTCCTTTCAGTTCGATCATTCATGCGTCTTTTTTACACCGCTACATGCTTTTGCGTATCGATTAGATGGAAGAAAAGCGTGTAGATCATTACTCCTCTCAACATACTGTGAATGTGTTTATGGTGGTCATGCTTATCGGAGACGAGGCATGAAGAAATGCACAAAGCGATTAGGTGGAGTAGGTGTCTCTCTTCCGAGTTGGGCTCCGAAAGTCTCCGTAACCGCATGATTGAAGGCACTAAAGGTCATGACTGCGAACCGACAGCATTGACGACCTTGCTATCACTTCTTATCAGACCAAAATGCTTGAAACAGTATGTATGCACAATTGAACTGTGTACTTTGTTGACCATGGAGGTTCACTTTCTTTTCCCGTCCCTAAAAATAGGCCCAATCCTTGTTCTCACTTACCTTAGATTCAATATGAGTTTGGCCAGCGATCAATGGAGTTCACTTCACTGTATTACGCTGTACGATGATGATGAGGACTCTTGATGAGCTGGAGTCTAAGGGACTTGTGTGTTGGTACAATAATCCTTATGAAAAGGAAAAACGTTCTATGATTTGCACGTGGACTGAATACTGCCGGGTTTCCCAGGCCAGGGCACGTGGGTTATCTTAAGAAATCCACAATCGGAACCTAGTGGTTTTCGATAATGGATGCTTACGTAGTCTGTCCCAAGTGGGATTTGAGTAAGTTTGAACACTTCTACTGATCAGTTCACTCAGTTTTGGTTATTTCCCAGGATGGAATAGGTTGTATCTGATTGTCTTGCCTGACCTAACTTATATTGATATAGGGAGTAGATAAGCCATTTACCAGGATGTGAACCTCAGCCTCATGTTGTGGACCACATTCTTCCGCTTTGTTCCTTTCTCCAACACCTGCCATCATCCAGCTGTGTCCGCTGTCTGTTTTTCAGTCCTCCGGACATTATTGAGGTGACGGAGAAGTGCGCACACTAAATGATATCATCTACTCAAGTAAGAAAACGAGGTTTCTCCTCCTGTCAATGAACAAAACTGTATGAAGGTATAATAATTAAAGTTAGTTCCCCTATTCCGTGAAAACTAGCCGGAACAGCTAGACAATGATGGTGGGTTTCAAATGTTTCCGGGTTCGGACAATGTGCGCAGTCGATCGTAGTGCAAATAATTTTCTCACGAAGAAATCTGTCTGATTTGTTTATAGGCTTAATACTGCAAGGTTTCACAAGCTCTTAAATGCTATATCTGATTAGGTAGAGGTTCTCAACCAGGGTCTGCAGTTGATTAAAGCTTAACCTACGAAGTGATGGTATACCATATGAAGATCGCATTTCATTGGGTTCATATCCTGTCAAACGAATCTTCGACATTTAGATGCAGACCACACATTCTCAGCACCAAATACAACACCGTCATTCACACTGATGAATTTCTCGATCCGGATCTCCCGGAATCTGTGGACACACCTCTTGGTTGGTTGGTTAAATACCTGAGTTTTCCAGCAGTGAGTATGGCTTCCAGCTCAAATGCTTCAAGCGAGGGACTTACTGTGGATGTATCTCACTTTAAGGGTGGTGGTGGCGCAGTGGTTTAGTCACTATCACCGGCGTGCTGTGTATTCTATGGTCTAAGGCCCGAGCCCCACCACCGCCACCCAATTTTGGTGGTAGGGAGCTTTGCTGTCGTCCGGTTCAATACCACGGCTAACCTATCGGGGCCTTATGTGGTTGGCCACTCCAAGTCCCGGGACTTAGGTTACCGGTTTCCACCAGTGAACAGTAGGCCCTCGTGATTCAGGGTTCGTCCCGTCTGCTGTTCATCACACTTGGAGATTGTTATAGAAAACTAGACATTGACCGGTTTTGATGGAACCGGACGTTTTTCGAGTCGTTTGTACATCCTTTTTTCGTTTATCTCATTTTCTTCCACTGAATTTGTTTCTGTCGTTCTCGTCCTCTCAGCATAGACAAATCGAAGATAGCACAACGAAGAAAAGAAATAAATATTTGCCACTTCCGCTACGGTTTAATGCAACTGTTGCGTTGTCGCATCGCTTCGCGGTACATGTTTTGGTAGCACTGCAAATCTTGTATTCGGTGGAAGTGTATGGACTACATTTTCCCGCATAGATTGAGATTTTCTTAACCTCTCTCCGCAGCCATCAAACCCTAATTTTCTTTCTGCTTTCAGAAAAATCTCACATTGACATAGACGATCTAGTTTGTGGTCGATTACTCCACGTGGGCAGTGATCACTGGACACTGCATCTTCCAAATGGTGCACATGGTCGTCTGCATTTGACTGCCATGCTTCACTCACGTCAACCGCAACCGATTTCTCTCACCTCGCCGAATGCCGCGGACGCCATCATTCATCGGGAGAAACAACTGGGTGCGGATTTGGCCAAGAACCGATTAATCACATGCCGCGTCGTGGATCGAGTGGAACAGACGAATCGAGTGTGTTCAGGCCAATCCAGTTCATTCCTCTACTACGTGTGCACGAATCCGCTCGTGTTGTAAGTTTTTTGCATTTGACAGTTCGGGTCCGTCGTTTCTAATGATAACTGGATTGTAATTGTAATGCGACTAGCACTATTATTATTATTATTATTATTATTATTATTATTATTATTATTGTTATTATTATTATTATTATCACAACCAACGGTAAACCATTCGTGGTGGAAAAATTAAGTGATAATATCTACCTCCTCAGTTCATACTTAATTTGGTATACTTTGCCATTTTCACTTATTCGGAGCACACGATGTGTTTTGATCATTGGCTTACAGTCCTCACTGCCCTGCTTATCGAACCTGAAATTCACAACACTTCTTCAATTATCTACGGGCAACCGGTTCCTTATAACAAGCAACCATCTACCTGGTTTCCGTTTTTGAATGCCACGTGAAATATAAATAGTCGGAGTCATGTCGCTATTACCGGTCAACGAAAGATAAATGCATGGGCCACACCGCACTACCTTCTTATTTGACCAAGTTCCTAGTCCACACGGACATCTACTACAAGCGGATTACACATAACCCCGTTTTCTTGAAAGGTAGCTTATCGGATTCATGCGCCTCGTCAGTCTACCCAAGACGTCTGAACTGAAAAGATAATCTCCGTCCATTAGCACGAATCTCAACGCTTCCGTATTTCTTGGTTCTGCATGGGATTTGGTAGACCATTCATCTGACTGATTAAAAAGGCAATCGATGCATGGAATGAATGGATGAATGAATTCACATCCTTTCAAAGTTTTTTTCGCCGTGTTCTTGCTCCTTCGTTCACCTATTGCATGATGACAGTATACGGATTTCAATCTGCTAACCTTATGTCCACTGGAAGTCTTTCATCGACATCTGTTTTCTTCTCTGAATGATTTCAGCAAGAGCATAGCTCTGTCTGACACGCGTGTCACTATCCTGGACTAGTTTGGGTATTCCTCGATTGCCGATGCGCCATTTTCTACCAACCATTCACGTATCACGAATAAACCGGCAAATCTCTCTGTTGCCTGTGTCACGAATCGCAGGCCGGACTCAAAGACTTAACAAGTTACAAAGTCCACAGCGAAAGCTCCGTTCATCAAACAGGGCATCGACCATAT